GGCGCCCCCTGGAAATTTTTAAAACCCAAAAAAGGGTCCAAACCTATGGGTTTTGGAACGCTGCTTTAAACTCCGAGGCAGAAAAGGGACAAAATCAAGAAACTCTGCCCTCAAAATTAGACTTTCGTTGGCTGCTGAAGAAGACGGGGAACTTATAAAACGTCCCGAGTGGGTTATAGCTCACATCATCTTTAAACCCTGCCCCTGACCCTGATACCATCGGAAAAACCCCCAGGCTGTTTTTTTTCCACCCGACCTCAGTGCCACCCGAAAGAAAGGGGGCCTTTTCCACGTCTTTATGCGTATGGGGCATATAGGGCTAGACCTATATTTATAGACCAATCGGCTTTCGGTGACTGATGTGGTCAGCATCATGCCGGCCGCCTTTACTTCTGCCTAGTACAATGTGAGGCTGGGTCGACCTGGGAGCCAATGTTATTTCTGAGACAAGCTCGGCTCCGTCGGACCTCGTGGGCACCCTCCAATAACGGCAAAATTTTTGGCGGCCGCAAAAAACCCAAACAAGCCTCATCACTGTCTTTGCGCACTTCCCGGGGCTCCCCTCTTTTGCTCAGCGGCGTGGGATTGGGGCAAAACAGATGGGGACCAAGAGTACTTTTTCGCATCTCCTGCAGCTTTGCTCTTTCCCAGCCATCTAGTTTAGCCCCAACCCCGCGGGCTCGGGGGGATACTCTCGGGGGTGGGGCACCCGAAAACCCAAAAATTTAGGTCCCGGGAAATTGCCAAATGAACGAGACTGGGGCCTTTTTTTTGGCCGCAAAATTGTCCCGTATTCGAGGATACCCTTTACGATTTTGGGGACCCCCGACAACGTCAGTGCACACCATCGGCCCTCATAACTAAAAAGTTTTTTAAAGGGGCAATAAAAAATTTTTGCTAAATTTTTATGATTTGAAATTTCATCTGTGTGCCGGAAAGGGGGGTTGTTAATTTTACAATAAAAGAATGGCAATTGCCTCCCAGGGGCATCTACAAAAAATCTTGCTGGGGTGTAGGGATGGGAAAAGAGTGAATGAGATCGCACCTATCTTGCCAACTTATTGGGGGCTGTTCTGTATTATTTTGGGGTCAAAAACGTAGCCAACGGGCTGCCCGGGGTACAACAGAGTTTGTGCACTGCGCTGGGATTCTTCAGACTCAGGCTTGAATTCGAGGATAAACGGAGCACTTCTGTGTAACATCCGTGTGCCATGATGTTGATCCGTTAAAATTGTCGTTTTAATTTGACATTGGTAATTTAAGCGTTTACGACTAAAGCCCTAATGTTAGCTATGGTTGTATGTGTGTGTATATGTAAACATGTATATGTATGTATGTATATATATATGTATGTGTGTGTGTGTGTGTGTGTGTGTGTGTGTGTGTGTGTAAACGAGTATGTTTTTCCAGTTGCTCTCGTGTGTATGCAATTCTCGCTGCCCCATGGGGCAGTTTAGAGCCAGTAGGTTAAGAGCATATGCTCCAGTGGGGGACTGAAGACACAAGAAAAATATTAAAATGTATTTTTGTTGTTCTCATGTCGCGGCTCATAAACTTGTATGTCTATATGTTTATTAGGTATCTGTGTCTTTGTTGTATGTATGTGTGTTTGTTTGTTTGTTATATGCCTAAATGTTTGTTATATATCTGAATGTTTGTGACATGTCTACATGTTTGTATATATATATATATATATATATATATATATATATATATATATATATATAATCAATAATTGTTACCTGTCTGTATGTTTGTATATATCTTTATGTTTGTGACATGTCTACATGTTTGTATACATCTCAATATATGTTACATGTCTATATGTTTGTATATATCTGTAAGTTTGTGACATGTATACATGTTTGTATACTTCTCAATGTTTGTTACATGTCTATATGTTTGTACTCCACAGCCCGGATGTCCGGATATTCCTGTCTCTAGACAACCCACGCAATGCACTCTCAGTTGATGCCACAGATACAGAACGAGAAGACGACGACACAATGGTCAGTTTCCATTATGTCATGTGTGTTCTTCTTGTTCTTCTTCTTTCTTCTTGTTCTTGTTCTTGTTCTTGTTCTTGTTCTTGTTCTTGTTCTTCTTCTTCTTCTTCTTCTTCTTCTTCTTCTTCTTCTTCTTCTTCTTCTTCTTCTTCTTCTTCTTCTTCTTCTTCTCTTCTTCTTCTTCTTCTTCTTCTTTCTTCTTCATTCTTCTTCTTCTTCTTCTTCTCTTCTTCTTCTTCTTCTTCTTCTTCTTCTTCTTCTTCTTCTTCTTCGTCTTCTTCTTCTTCTTCTTCTTCTTCTTCTTCTTCTTCTTCTTCTTCTTCTTCTTTCTTCTTCTTCTTCTTCTTCTTCTTCTTCTTCTTCTTCTTCTCTCTTCCTTCTTCTTCTTCTTCTTCTTCTGACTTCTTCTTCTTCTTCTTCTTCTTTCTTCTTCTTCTTCTTCTTCTCTTCTCTTCTTCTTCTTCTTCTTCTTCTTCTTCTTTCTTCTTCTTCTTCTCTTCTTCTTCTTCTTCTCTTCTTCTTCTTCTTCTTCTTCTTCTTCTTCTTCTTCTTCTTCTTCTTCTTCTTCTTCTTCTTCTTCTTCTTCTTCTTCTCTTCTTCTTCTTCTTCTTCTTCTTCTTCTTCTTCTCTTCTTCTTCTTCTCTTCTTCTTCTTCTTCTTCTTCTTCTTCTTCTTCTTCTCTTCTTCTTCTTCTTCTTCTTCTTCTTCTTCTTCTTCTTCTTCTTCTTCTTCTTCTTCTTCTTCTTCTTCTTCTTCTTCTTCTTCTTCTTCTTCTTCTTCTTCTTCTTCTTCTTCTCTTCTTCTTCTTCTTCTTCTTCTTCTTCTTCTTCTTCTTCTCTTCTTCTTCTTCTTCTTCTTCTTCTTCTTCTTCTTCTTCTCTTCTTCTTCTTCTTCTTCTTCTTCTTCTCTTCTTCTTCTTCTTCTTCTTCTTCTTCTTCTTCTTCTTCTTCTTCTTCTTCTTCTTCTTCTTCTTCTTCTTCTTCTTCTTCTTCTTCTTCTTCTTCTTCTTCTGCTTCTGCTTCTGCTTCTTCTTCTTCTTCTTCTGCTTCTTTTTCGTATTATTTTTATTAGCCTGAGTGGGTACCAGGTACAGTCCTGGGAAGCAAAGGCGGCCGAAGTCATGCTGACTACATCAACCACCAAGTGCCGTTTGGTCTATAAAATATAGGTCTAGCTCTATATACCCAATACACCTGTAGGCATGGAAATGGGGTCCTTTATTTTTACCTCTTATTATCTCTAACGTAAAGTGTTCTTGTTGTAAAAAATGTTTTGTTTATAATTCTCTGTGTGGGTTCCGAGGCCCTTACAGGTATATCGAATGGCAAGTTTTTTCCTCGGACAGTAGTTGGCCGTTACATTTTCCTCCATGTGTAGACTAAAACGAAATAGTTCCGTCGCTTAGCTACTGAGCACATGGCACGACACTGTAAGATTCGGATTACTTTTGGAATGCTTTTCGGCTGTGCCTAAGGTGGTTTGTGTTGTGAACTGTGGCAAGTCTCCTGTTGCCACAGAACTGGTGGTACCTTATGTGATTAATCGGGCGGGGAAATACTCATCTATTGTAACTGCTGCTTCCGTTGATGATGAACTACATTTCTAGCGTTGGACTTATTGTGTTGTCACTTCTGAAGGCTGCGTTGTGTATTTGTTACATGTGTATGCTATTGGCTTCGCTGAGACTGCACGCTGTGTACATTTTGCGTTTGGTTAGTTATTAATATCCTACCCCAGATTACGTCATAGGACAGTCCAATATTTTAGAGGGTGTTGAGACTAAGTTTCCCGGCTTTCTGATGCTTTTAACGACCCAAAAATTAAAAGAAGTGGCCCTAACCCCAACCCACCTACGTCCCACAAGAGAGTGCAACCTAGGTCCCACGACTGCATGCAGCCTATCTACCACCCGCTGAAATATTAGAGTGTCCCGTGACCTGGGGGTTTCCTCTGTTTGGGGTAGGATATTAATAAAGCACCTTACATTTTCCCACAATTCTGGTTTTCGTTGGCACAGGAATGGAGCAACGATGTGGTGGCTTTGCCGCGATTGCCTGATAGACTGGTTAATCTGAAGCATGTCGAATGAGGCTAATAATTAAGGGCTCCTGAGATCAGATGCATGAGACAGATACACGCAAATATTGCAGCCTAAATGTAAACCGCAACAAAGCCTTCCCACCGTACTTTTAACGATACAGTTAGAAGAAGAAGAAGAAGAAGAAGAAGAAGAAGAAGAAGAAGAAGAAGAAGAAGAAGAAGAAAAGAGAAGAAGAAGAAAGAAGAAGAAAGAAAAAGGAAAAGGAGAGGAGAAGAAAAAGAGAAGAAAAGAAGAAGAAGAAGAAGAAGAGAAAAGAGGAGAAAAGAAGAAAGAAAAAGAAGAAGAAGAAGAAAGAAGAAGAAAAGAAGAAAGAAGAAGAAGAAGAAGAAGAAGAAGAAGAAGAAGAAGAAGAAGAAGAAGAAGAAGAAGAAGAAGAAGAAGAAGAGGAAAAAGAAGAAGAAGAAGAGGAGAAGAAAGAAATAAAGAAAGAAAGAAAGACAGACAGACAGACAGACAGACAGACAGACAGACAGACAGACAGACAGACAGACAGACAGACAGACAGACAGACAGGCAGGCAGGCAGGCAGGCAGGCAGGCAGGCAGGCAGGCAGGCAGGCAGGCAGGCAGGCAGGCAGGCAGGCAGGCAGGCAGGCAGGCAGGCAGGCAGACAGACAGACAGACAGACAGACAGACAGACAGACAGACAGACAGACAGACAGACAGACAGACAGACAGACAGACAGACAGACAGACAGACAGACAGACAGACAGACAGACAGACAGACAGACAGACAGACAGACAGACAGACAGACAGACAGACAGACAGACAGACAGACAGACAGACAGAAGAAGAAAGTAGAAGAAAGCATAAGAAAGTAGAAGAAAGAAGAAGAAAGAAGAAGAAAGAATAAGAAAGAAGAAGAAAGAAGAAGAAGGAAGAAGGAAAAAGAACTAAGAAAACAAGTATGACGAACCGTTTTAGTCTTAGACCTGACAGTTTCTAGACCGGACAGTTTTCTAGACGCTCCCCCCCCCCCCCCCCTCCTGAACCACCCTCCCCCACCTCTTGTTTTTTTTTTGTCCCACCCCGGAGCGTAGCTGATATGTCTAATTTGCGGCCTTATTACCTGCTTCTTGGGGACTCCAGGAGATGTTCTCTCTGAGTGTAGTTAGAGGCTGTGTGTGGAATGTGTGTGAATTTGTTGCTGATGTATATGAGAGAGAGAGTGTGTGTTAGAGAAGGAGAGTGAGTAAGTGAGTAAGTCAGTGAGTGAGTAAGTGATTTATTGTGTTAGTGAGAGTGAGTAAGTGAGTGAGTGAGTCAGTGAGTGAGTCAGTGAGTGAGTGGAAAAAAAACTGAGTGAGATAAAAAGAGTGAGTGAAGTGCCAGGCTCGTTCGCAACAACTAAACTACGATGCGTTTTAAAAGTCGTGTCGGGATAAATTGTATCGTTCTTTGTCAAACTCTGAGAAGATAACAATGCACATTTCAGGTTAGAGGAAAAATACATTTATGGCTCATAAAAACTAAATGATCTGTGGAAGTGAGTTTTTTTTTTTTTTTTTAAGGGGTACACAAATTATTCTCCCTGACGGAGCTGAACTTTTTTCAAAAATGATCTTGACTCCCATGTCGACCCAGCCTTGAGTGGGTACCCGGTGCAGTCCTGGGAAGTAAAAGCGGCCGGCTTGATGCTGACGACATCACCCATCTTGTGCCGATTCGTATGTGAAAATATAGGTCTAGCCCTATATACCCTATACGCCTAGGGCGTGGAAAAGGGACCTTTACTTTTTTTAAGCACAAATCATTAGTAAAACAAAGAGCAAAGAAAGTTGCCGCTTCAAGAAAACAGCAGCACCTGTGTACTTATACAATCAAAAACCATAAGAACATGTGAAATCTAGGAACCACATTGCAAAATTCATGTTGATCCGTACAGGATTTTTCCAGATGTGTGCTAAATTTTGAATGCACTTTTTTTTAAACGCACTACATAAACAATGCGGAAATAGAATGGATAAACTAGAAACGCTGAAAATCTCTTTAAAACAGAGGTTCTCAACCTTCTGAACGCCGCGACATTTTAATACAATTCCTCGTGTTGTGGTGACCCCCAACCATACAATTTTTTCCCGTTGCTACTTTATAACTTCAATAAATATGTGTTTTCCGACGATCTTTTGCGACCCCTGTAAAAGGGTCGTTCGACCCCTCAAAAGGGTCGCTACCCACATGTTGAGAACTACCGCTTTAAATCATCCAGCTATTATCTCCCCTCCTGGGATTCGATCACAGACGTCCGGGGATCAGCGAGCACGTTACACGACATACTGATGTACAAACAAGATAGCTAACATCGAAGGGACCCACCCAACGACCACACACACACACACACACACACACACACACACACACACACACACACACACACACACACAAAGAGAGAGAGAGAAAGAGGGAGAGAAAGAGAGAGAGACAGAGAGAGACAGAGAGAGACAGAGAGAGAGACAGAGAGAGAGAGGGAGAGAGAGACAGAGAGAGAGAGAGGGAGAGAGAGACACACAGAGAGAGAGACAGAGAGAGAGACACAGAGAGAGACAGAGAGAGAGACAGAGAGAGACAGAGAGAGAGGGGGAGAGAGGGAGAGAGAGACAGAGAGATAGAGAGGGAGGGAGAGAGAGACACACAGAGAGAGAGAGACAGAGAGAGAGAAAGAGGGAGAGAAAGAGAGAGAGACAAAGAGAGAGACAGAGAGAGACAGAGAGAGACAGAGAGAGGGATAGAAAGAGGGAGAGAGAGACAGAGAGAGAGAGGGAGAGAGAGACAGAAAAAGAGAGAGAGAGACAGAGAGAGAGACAGAGAGAGACAGAGAGAGAGACAGAGAGAGACAGAGAGAGACAGAGAGAGACAGAGAGAGACAGAGAGAGGGATAGAGAGAGGGAGAGAGAGACAGAG